CGCGTTTGTAAAGAACTGTTAATTTATAACCCCTTTTATTTATAAATGACTAACATTTTACGACATCGGAAGTGCTTTCACACCGAAAGTCAGTTCTGACACTAACCAGTTTTACTCGCAACTAAAATTAAAGGACTGGCATAAATGTATGTTTGCGATATATCAAAACTTTTATTTATATATAAACAACAGAACTCGACCCCAATTAAGGCAATCGCTTAGTTCTTAGTTAAGGATATATTAGAGATTTGACGGCTAACATTGGCTTGCATATTTGACGGTTGACGGTAAAAATATTGCGTTTTTTACGGATGACGGTTAACCCCATTGAGACTCTCCTTAATGCTTAATACCTTCTGGCTGAAACATTAACGAGTCTCTATCTGTTGCCACAAAGCTTTGCCACTGAGAAAGTACACCTCGTTAGTTTTACTCTTGCAGTGCTTGAAACTATCACAGCAATCTTTAGGTTCAGCATGTTAGGCCAGGTCATGGCACTGGACCCTCCAGACAACATTGCAGCAGCGCCACTGAATCAAAAATCAGGACTAGATCCACGAGTCAATTCTCGGTTTCACAATTGCTGCTGGCTCACGAAAAAGAGCATTTCAAGTACTGTGAAAAATCAATGAGATGTTCTAATTTCTAGATTTTGACTCTCAGTGGTGTTAATTAATCTTACTATTAACAGGCTTCAGTATGTGACAGGCCCTTTAATTAACCAAATATTATCAGAAGCCGTAGGATATGCAAGATATATTTAATTACCAAGCATAGAATCTCGACTTATTTTCTCGGATAATATTTAGACTAATAGTAGGTGTTCCTGAAGGGAGAATAGAACCTGTCTGTCGAGTAGATAAGAGAGGTTACTTACAGGCTTCGGTAGCCCATGTTTAATTACAATTTAACATCAGTGTCTCTCATAGTATAGTAGGGACTTTACGCAAACCACGACGGCTACGGCAACGAGAACGTGGAAAAACAATAGATCTAATTGGCAGAACAATAGCTCAGCACGTGCGTTTTAAAACTTTGTACATTTCTTAGCCGTCCTTTGCAAAACAACAGCGTGAAATTATTTTAATTTACATTTGGAACTCAACGGTACTTTTATGCGTTATGTTGAGTTTGAGGTCTGGCGCCCTATGAGACGGTAAACACATGCAGCCATTTTTGAAATTCTAACTAAAAGTAGAAACTCATTTTTTAATCGACGTCTTCCGTGGCGTTGCCGTCGTGACCGTTTAAAGTCCCTACTGCCTCTCTACACGGAAGGAACCAAACGATGATCTCCCAGTAGAAGGATCCAAGGAGGACAGTGCTTCAATGTAAATTTNGGCGGGGTGAATATCGTCGAATAATCCCCGAGACGAAGTCGAGGGGATTATTCGACAATATTCACCGAACCTGAGGGGAATAATTGTTTTAGTATAATTTCAGAGCTGAACAACAGAGAAATTTCTAAAATCATAACATTTTAGTAACATTTATTAACATTTTATTTCAACATTTTATATGAACCGCGTGGAGCGGTTTATATAGCGTCATATAAGGAACCGCTCGACCAATCAGATTGCTGGAAACTCTTTGCCCGGCTCTGAAATTATACTAAACTTATATATTTCTTTCATCTTTCAAATGAGCCCGCGCACCTGCCTCCCCTCCAGGGGCTATTTTTGTCCACTGGATCTCGTGGTCTCGTGTTTCGGGCCTGGGAAGGCAGCCATATTCTTGGCACATTGTGGTACAACAGCCGTACTAGGCTCTGCGATAAAATTGCTGTACAAGGCCCAGCTATCAAACTGCCAAACACGTTTGCCTCACCAACTGTTAAGATGCAGTTTTATCGTGTAATGCAAAGCTTTACCAGCTTTATACAGAAGTTTAACTCCACTGTTTGTTAAGTACGTTCGTTTTTTTGCCTTGGCTGTTACCAGAACGATGAATCACAAAGTCAACTGGATGATAGAAACTCAGTCACTTAAGGATGTAAACAAGTGTGTATGTGTAACGAGGAACACTGATAAACCAGTCAAGGAAACAATGCAGATAAATAAAAAAATCACTAGAAGATCTCGTTTCTCCTATTTGTTAATTCAAGGCAGCCCCGCGAAATTTACAAGTCGAGAGACAGAGCAGTTTCGAGAATCCCTGCAATGCAATTAAAATGCATTTTGCCAGAGTAGAAAAGTGAGGAATCTAGTATGAAAACAAACCCTCAGATTAGTTCTAAGGTCATGGAAACCGTTTCCCTGAATATCTCAGCAGAAAAACTCATGTGTATCACAGGCTGACTTATGACCTGTTTCGCATGACACTTAAACGCAAACAATCTAAACAGTTTGTAAAATATAGCTCCTCTGCTAATCAATGCCTTTATTTAGTTGTGTTGATGTTACCTGTTTTCTAATTATCGTCTACCAAGAAATACAACATCTAAAAGGATGTCACAGGACTAAATACAAGAATAATATTTGCAACACTTCTGCCCATGAAGAAGATAAAATTTAGCATTTCAAGGTCAGATAAAATCATTTTGTCCATGCAACTTGTGCATAACAGCAATTACATGTCCCTAAACGTTTGTTAATAAATGTTGTTTAGATGTTACTTGATGTTACCTGTTTTCTGAACTGTCATCTACCGAGGGATAGAACATCAAAGCAGATGCCACAAAACTAAATACGACAACGATATATGCATTGCTAAAATAAAGTTTAATGTTGTGTTTGGATCATAGCAATCTATTTCCTTGGACTGGCATTTCACCTGTGAATGTGCTGTTTTGTTTCTCCTTCGACAAACTCACATTGACGAGACGAAAATAGCAAAACATTTTCTGTCTGATAATACCACATATCATTCATCAACCAACCAATCAACTTTACTTGTAATTACAGCTGGAGATCTTCATTTCAGAGGATTTTGGTGGAGGGGTGAGGGGTGTAGGTTGAAATAACTCTAACAAGTGGTCACGTTTTCAACACAATTTTTGTTATATCCATGAATGAGTTCGCTAATAGGAGCCTTTGATTTGGATCTTTGGTCTTGGTCTCAGTTAAGAACTGTAACTATCACGATTACACTATTACACAAAGCCCCATCCAAATAAATTAAAAAAAAAAGTTTTCTTAAGCGTCTTAGACTTTTACAACCAAAAGTTGTGAATGACTTGTTATTTTCGAACTACTCGTTGTAAAGAACGCCCCCCCCCCCTTCCATCTCTTCCCAGACCACTAAGGATATTAGCCAAGAATCAGACGTTTTTGATATTGTACGGGGCAGACAGGTTGGGGAAAGAGAAAGGGAGGAAGGGGGTTTTATAGCCCCCCCCCCCCACTCACTGAAGTTGTGCATTCACTGATTGGTTTCTGACTTATTGAATTCTCAAGTGTGCGACGTTCAATGGATTTCACCTCGACACTCAATCGAGGAACCTCTGATGATTTCATGGTATAGGGCAACCAAACGAGATGTTGGAAAAGTTTCTTTCACTCTCAGTCCAACAGATCCCTTCGACCATTCGTTTAATACAGCTGAGCAACGTTTAGGACATTATGGCTTGACGATTATTGATTATTACAAGTACTGATCACTTTGTCTTGAAAAAATTCACACGCAAAAAGACTGAAGACATGTGCGCCGATGATGGACGCATCCCGCAGCCGCTTCAGTTTTCCCCCCCTTTTAGCCTTAACCACTCAATTACCCAACCGTTCAAAGCCAAATTACTTTTTTCGATTGAATGAGCAGCTTAATTCATGTCCAGGCAAAGACAGTCGCGAAGGAACCATTTAAACAATCGGCTTTTGTTTCCTACAAGTTATATGCTTCGGTAGCTCTTCATGATTCACTGTCTGAGGTTTACGTTCTACCGACGTAGAAGCACCTGCATTGTCAACTGATCCCGTACTAAAAGCTAGCTCCCGCTCCAGACGATACCACTGACGATTGACGTTGGTAAAGTTGCTGTGCGTCCCTAACTTTCATTTATAAAAGCTGATTTTGGTAAGTACGTTGCACAAGTTCGTAAGAAGCGGATGTGAGCGGCCTCACACGTTCAGTGGGATAGTATATGCTATTTCGAGGCGCGCTGGCTTGCAGAAAGGATTTTCCAGTTTGGGTCGAAGAAATATCTTTATTTCTTTCCCCATGAGGAGTCACGTATATCAATCCATGTATATCGAGGGATTATTAGAAGTTTTACAGTGGGGATTTCAAATTTCACGTCAGTGTCGACGCCCACACAAGGTGCAATTCGCAATTTACTTCTAAGTAGGGGTCGTGCCTAGCGAAGTTTGAAAGGTACTTTAGAACTTTAAAACATATCAGCTTTGAAAAACACAGGGTCGTTCTGCTCTTGTACACCAATTATTCTATATCGTTTGATGAAACTAAAACTGTATATTATAGCTGGAGAACACGAACATAGCATCTTTGATTCAGCTGGGGCAGAATGTCACGATACCGTGAATTTCAAAAGTAACTGCCCGGGCTTCGTTCACTGACTTCCGTACTTTGATTACAACCTCTTCCCATACGGCTTCGTTTGATTAACCTAAAGTTGTCCTCTTTGTGATCGAGCTTTCGTGAGTGTAACATGAAATTTTATTTCCTTGGGCTAATTTCGTCATGCGAACTCTGTACGCAGTTCCTTGAAAAGGTTGTTGCTTTTAGATATGAAATTCGAGACATTCTTCGGGGTTTAGCTTTTCCCGTGGCTACATGTCGTAGAGTTTGAAAATGATACGGCATACGGCAGAGATTTTGTTTTCGTGTGCACCCACCGTCTAGTTACTTTAGCTATGGTTTAGTACTACACGCTTTGTAAGTTCTTGTGGCGACGAAATGTCGCACAGTTTAAAAAAACAACTCAAAATGTTTGTTTTTGTGTTCGTCTGCCGTAAGATTGTACTGTCTTAATGTTGATTTAGACTACGCACTTCGTATACGTGGCTAAAGTTGTGTGTGTCGATGGCATTTGTTAAGCAGAAATCGGCCCTTAGTTGACTTGATAACTAGTGCTGATTTAAATTCACCTCTGTAGCCTCGGGTGCGTAGATAAATAGTGAAAGACCACGCGCATAGTACTTTCTAGACTTTTGGTAGGTTGTAACACGGTTAACGCATTATTAGGCGACTCGGCCTCAAAGGAATCGAATAAGCAGACCTGAAGAAAAACTAGCTTATTATTGTAAATCTTGCAATTTGCAGAGGAAAATAATAAACACACGAAAACAATGGTTAGGAAGCCAACATAATGAATAATCAGTGAATTACTGGACTGTGACCACAGATACTAGAGGATCTCAAAGAGAGGAGGGGGGGTCACGTTGACGGTTAACAATAAGCCCTTTTGACGGCTGATGGTTAATTTCTTGGAATGTCGTTTATAAACGAAGTAAACGAGCGATATTTGGTTGTTTTTGATAATGACACGTTTGTAAAGAAGTGTTAATTTCTAACACCATTTATTAATAAATGACTGAAGTGGCTGCCAGAGGCGCCTGATATGCTGACGTCTGTTCTCAACCTTACACTGCACCCGTAATTCAGCCTCTGGGCTGCAAGTGGTCAGATATAAACTATACTACTATTACTATTACTAACGTTTTACGACACCGGAAGTTTTCCACACCGGAAGTTAGTTCTCTCGCCAACAAGTTTTACTCGCGACTAGACGTCGAAGGACTTACATAAATGTACTTTTCTGATATATCAGAACTTTTATTCATAAACAACAGAAAATGACTCCAATTAAGGCAATATGAGACATTTGACGGCTAAGATTGGCTTGCTTATTTGACAGTTGACGGTAAAAATATTGCGTTTTAGACGGTTGACGCTTAATATTTTGACCATTTAACGGTTGATTGTTAATCCTTTGAGACCCTCTTTCCAAGGTAACTTGAAAAAATCAACCGTGAAACGCAATTTTTTGTTTTATGACCCCGTTGCTTCATGAAAATGCCGTGACAAAATAAGTATTAAAAAAAGAGAAAAAAATGAAAAGGATATCAAGAGCGAGAAATATAACTTTTATTTCCGTAGCTGCCTGGTCTATTCCAGGCGTGCTAACGCTATTTTGGCGAAGTTTCTTGTACCGCTTGTTGTGCTACAATACATAAATATAGAAGGCTGGTCACTTCAAGGTTGTAGCGGAAACAAAGACCCCCGAAAGCTTAGACCTAATACCCGAAAACGAAGACCTCTTTATTTTCTTGTTACGGTTTCTCGCCGGAAATACCCAGTTCCGGTTTAATCTTTTTAATAGCGATAAAGCTGGCAATCAAACACAGGTTCATTTTTTCCCATTGTTCAACCAAGCGCAAGTGAGAACCGCGTGATACTGGACTACTGGACACTTGTTTCCTTGTTGATTCATAAACGGCCTTTATCTTTGAGTGTGATACTGGAATGACACTTTACCCAGCTGAACCAGTGTGAAACGAAAACTGCTGCAAAAGACATTTCAGCTAAGACGGCGATATATCGATTGTGCCATCCATTATGGCTTACTTAACTTACGTATGGCTCACTCGGCTTTACTTCCGTATCCTAGTAAATAAGATCGTTCAAATTTGAGTGAGACTATAAAAAGACCCCATCTATCAGTTTGTTGACTTCAACTTTAACGTAATGTCCGAGTAACAGCCCTGCAAGAGATAGCTCCGAAAAGTTTTCAATTTTATTGTCGAGCTCTCTTCATTTATGTGGAATTTGATAAACGCAAACACAATTTAGACCATGACAATTTTTTTTTCCAGATCCAGACAAGCTTCAAAAGCGCCTTCGTTTTCGGGTCTTTGTTTTCGAGTCCTTCCTTTCAGGTCTTTCGGAAAAAAAAAACCGTGTTTGATTTTAGGCTTTATCGCCATTAGAAAGATTAAAACCTGAGCTGGATATTTCTGGCCAGAAACCACAACATTCACGAGATCATGTTAGATAAAAAATTTAAAGGAGTCGTCTTTACTCCCGTTAATGACTTTTACATTCCAAAATAACACATAGCACGCTTAGTACGGTGGCCCAGAAGGCTCAACGCAAACAAAAAATATACTGCAGCAAATAAAAAATATACTGCAGCAAATAAAAAATATACTGCAGCAACTAAAAAATATACTGCAGCAAATAAAAAAATCAAAACGCAAAGAAAAAAAGTACCGCAGCAAATAGAAAATGCAACGCAAACAAAAAATACTGCAGCAAATAAAATATGCAACGCAAACAAAAAAAAAAGAGAAAACGCAAACACAAAAAATTGGAACGCAACGCCAAGGAAGACTGGGTAATAGTTCTTAGTTTCCCGCCAAAACAGCATGAACTGGAATTCGCTTTTTGTTATGGACGAAAGCGAATACGTAGGATTATAGAAGATTACTTTATAGAAGGGTATGAAAAGGAGGAGCATGGTACTGTCATAAGTTCGCTGCAAAACGTGGTTTCGGAAAGGCGAACAAGCAAAGGATGGAACGAGTGTTGGCGGGAAACTAAGAACTATTACCCAGTCTTCCTTGGCGTTGCGTTCCAATTTTTTTTGTTTGCGTTGCATGTTTTATTTGCTGCAGTATTTTTTGTTTGCGTTGCATTTTTTTATTTGCTGCGGTACTTTTTTTCTTTGCGTTCTGATTTTTTTATTTGCTGCAGTATATTTTTTATTTGCTGCAGTATATTTTTTGTTTGCGTTGAGCCTTCTGGGCCACCGTAGCTTAGGCTGCCTGTGCTCGCAGCTAAACTCGAAACCCCATAAGTCGAACAAGGTCCGATTTCCCCTGGATTTGACCTCAATTTACCATTCATTCACTATCAGCTATCTCGAACTTGGTTAAGTCGAACTGATTGACAATGCAAAACCATTTTTCGTTCTCTTGGGAGTTCGAGTAAGTGGGCTTTACTGTATTCTTTTCTCATTGCAGACGTATTGATGGGTAATCTATCTTAGAATGGCTTTTTTGCATTCCCCAGGTTTCAGCCTTGAGCGATGCTAGTTCTTCTGTTTATGCTGTTGGTTGTGGTTGAGTTAGGATGGGCCGCCCAGTGTGACAAGTGGTCTGGACCTGCTGGAACTGTAGAATGCATTCAGATACAGCGGTACAATAACGAATACCAGTGGGCGACGTGCTTGACAGATGTATACATTAAGCTAAAGAGTAACCACACACACCTATGTATTGACCGAACTCGAGTTTACTGCTGGTACCAGTGTATGCTTGAAGAGAATAACAAGGAAGATGGACCAGTGACGAGCGATTGTTCCTGTTCTCCCAGCAATCCAACCTCATATCCAAACACCCTCACGCCTACCACATTACTGCCTTCACAGTGCTATAGTCCACCAGGGGATTCCTGTGGTTGGTACCGCAACTGCTTGGAAAGAAAGTATCCCTGTGAAGCTACAAGTAATGGATATGCAATAAGATACGCTGAGAATTTTTGCAACCTGTATAACGAGAACCTTGGAAAATTCAGTCTTACCGGAAAAAACTGGGTTAATGGGGTTCGTAAATGCCTCCAAGTCTCACTGGTGCCACTATTACGGCCATGGGCCAACCCAACCTGTAAAGAGATACGAGACAGAGCATTCGCCTCCCACACACCATGTTACCTGTATCCAGACAAAGGTGTGCCGTCCGTCTGTGATCTCGACTGCCACGATTACTACCAGATCTTTTGGACCATCAAGGGTTCCTTTATCAAAGTCGACACACTCTGGGAATCTCTCAAGGGAATGTGGAACATAGGAAATGAATGTGGATGGTCTGCTAACAACAAGAAATGCTACAGAGAGCTAAAAGATGGCCCAGTCAGAGCGATCAAGATGAAGATCAAAAGGTTTTTGCGATTAAGACGCTCAACTGATCCTCTTCCTGAGTCTGATGCTCAAAGTCGGTTCGCAGAAGGAGTTGGCTCAGCCATTGCGAGTGCCTTGAGGTGGAACTCAGAAGTGATGGACTGGCTCGCCTATACTGGGAGAGTTGAAGATGCAGAAAACCTGGAAATGGTCGTCTTATTAGCGGATAAGAAAGCCCTGGGTATCGTTTTGACATCCATTCCATTCGTCGACTTCAATCAGATCATTCAAGTATTTGCCTCAGCTGTACGAAAGGGAGCGCTCCCGTTGAGAGTGGAGGGACACAATGTCTGGGTAAGGACCTTGGCCTCGTGTTCTGATAAAGCCTGCAACAGCACCCAGACACTGGCAGTGTCAGACAAGCCCCCAAACTGGAATGGTGCTGCTGAGATCTCACGCGGTAAAGTTGTCATGTGTGGAACCATCGCTGTGTTGATCATGATGATAAACAAACTGTTTTATTAAAAGCATACACACCCGTGTCGGGAAGCTTTATTTTTTCTGTTTCTTGAGCGTAGAAACATAGACTAATCACGCGTACTAGTAGTTGTTAGAACGGTCTGTCACACGCTGGACTTAATGCTTAATACCTTGTGGCTGAAACCTTTCGAGTCCCTATCTGTTGTCAAAAGGCTTTACCGAAAAAGTCACGGTACACCTCGCTAGTTTTACTCTTGCAACACTTGCATCAATCAAAGCGATCATTAGCTTCAGCATGTATATGTTAGGCCAGGTCATGGCACTGGACCCTCGAGACAACACTGCAGCAGCACTTCCACTTAATTAAAAACTCAGGACTAGAGCCACGATTCGATTCAGGGCCACAGAATAGAAGCTCTTTTTCAGAGTTCACGAAAGGGAACAATTCAAGTACTGTGATAAATCGATTAGATGTGTTCTAGATTTCTAATCTGTCGGTATTATTGCCATAAAAAGACTTCAGAGTGTGATAGACCTTTAAATTAACTGACAGTTATTCGAAGTCGTAGGATATAGAGGATTTTATAACCAAACACAGAATCTCAATTAAATTCATTGGATGATAGTTCCACCAATACTACGTGTTGTTAAAGGAAGTGTAAAACCTGTTTGTCAAGTAGATAAGAGACGTAATCAGAGAGGTCACTCACAAACAAGGGTAGTATGTTTGATTATCAGATAAAATCGGTGTCTCTTATATAGTATAGTGCTTTTCTCTAAAGGAAGGACCAACAGATAAGGGTATCGTTGTTACTATGATACAGAGTGAATAAACACAGACCGACCTTTAGCATGATTGGTTCATGAATCAAGTTTAATCTTTATATAAAGGCCTTCTGAAATGATGTAACCTACTTATATCTTAAAACACGCATATAGGCACGAGTGGCTGTTTTCGACCTTTTGTGTCAGTTTAGAACTGTAACGATTTTGCTATTTCGAATATTCCTATCTAGTAAATAGAGTAACGCCATTATATAAGCGTCTTAGACTATTATAACCAATGTTAACCATTAAAAGTATTTAACCACAATGAAATAGTGAGTGACATTTGCATTGCACACATTACATCCCGGCACCCGGTTCCAACCACTGCGAAAATCACCACCGGAAATACTATGCAAAGACCTGGTAACTGACTCAGTCCGAGGAAGAAAAATGGCATGTACTGGGCATGTGTTAGCGACCGGTCATTATTCATCTCGGGGGGTGGGGGGAGGGGGTGTTGGAGGATCTTGGTTGTGTTACTATACAATTTATGGGCTCCCCCTGAAGCTCTGTATTAATCTGATGATTCGCCCCTCAATGGCAGTTAGATAGCAGTCAATTCTCTTAAGTCATCCCTTTATACCCTGTTAGTGACGACTGATCCCTTCTCTGTTTCCCCTGAAAATCTTATGATCCTCCAAAATCCTCCACCACCCTCTCCCCCCCCCGTACCTTAGTTTTACTGTTTCGCCCAGAGGAGTTAAGTTTTGCAGCTTCTCGCTGACAGTTTGAGTTTCGACGTAATGACTTGGAGAACACTAGAAAAGTTTGTAAGTCACGAACTGCACACAAGTAATTAACAAACGTTTTTTAAAAGCTTCGATAGGTTTCATTTAAAGAACTGGTGTATCTAAAAGATAGTAATGCTGTGGCACATTTCGTTGATAGTGACATAATTTACAGTGATTCATTTACCTGCGTGTTCCAAGACTGACATTGAGAAACGCATCTTTGAAGTTATTTTCTGCGGGAGAGAAAGCCGGTATACTAAGAAGAAAGAAATAGCGCGCGCACTAAGAAAAATATTGCCTTTTGTAACATAATCTCACCCTGGTTTGCCAAACCTCAAGAACCTGAAGATGGGGAAATGACATCATAAAGCTAACCCTTATTATTACATCACAAAGGAAAGTCATCAAGAGATATCGTAATAAGAGCTTAATTTTGATGGCAGAAGATTTAAAAGCGCAAGCGAATGGCAAGAGACGCTTAGGCCCTATGAGCATCATCGGTTAACTGCGTTCACAGGCGTCCCAAGCTCACGTCTCGAGCAAAAACCAAAGATTATTTCATGAAAGCGTCATGTGTTGTGTGATGCGATGTTAAGTTACGGTCATATTAAAACGCAGACTGCAGACCGTGCAGACTGTGGAGACTGTAATTTGTTTTGTTTTTTTTTTAAATTTTTTTTTTACCTTTTTTAACTCTGATTTTCACGTTTTCCTCACTATTTTAGCAACGTTGGTACAATGTCCAGTTTTTGGACACCACATGACGTAGTTTTACGAGATCATTTCGAGTTCAGGTTATCTAGCAACAATTTGGACGAAATCCCAGGCTCAAGGTTATTGAGCACGTGGTGAGAGGGAGATCGAGGAGGGAAGGTTGTTTTTGAATTTGTCCTTGTGTATCTCCTACCATTCGCTAGCGCTTTTAAATCTTCTACCCTCAAAGTTTAGCTCTTATTAGGATATCTTTTGATGACTTTCCTTTGCGATGTGATAATAAGGGTCAGTTTTGAGGCGTCATAATTCTCCATCTGTATGTTCTTGAGGTTTGGCAAAGCCGGATGAGATTGTGTTACAAAAGGCAACATTTTCTTCTGTGCGCGCTATTTTCTTTGTTTCAGAGTATGCTTCTCTCCTGAAGTAATAACTCCAGAGATACGTTTCTCAAAACCCTCGTCTATGTTTCCTCTGTTCTCGAAGGGTATTTTGAAACTCTGTACGTTTTTTCTAAACGTGGAGCGCGACAAATTCGTTCTTAGGAGGCGTGGGGCTTTTCCTTTTACAAATCCCGCATTTGCGCTCCATGGAAAAAGTTCGTCTATTAGAAGGTTTGTCTCTCTAATATGCGTTTGCATGTCAAGGTCAATTCACAGTTGAATAACTCGCGTCTAGAAAAATAATTACTGACTTTAAAATTATTCATCCCACCATAGGGTCCACCAGAGGTTGTGAGTGTAACTTGCCATTTGAGTCGAGATTCATAGGCAGATTGCAGTTTCCAACAAATAACGTCAGTTGCCTCCTAAGAACGAATTCGTCACGGAGAAATGACAGGAGTCGCGCAGGGCCGTCAAACGTTTTAACTTTCGAAGGAATGGCAACAGATAGTGAATCCCCATTACAATCCAAGTATATACACCACGTATCTAGCTTTTACCAAAGATGTACCCTCCAACGCGTCAAGATGCAAATGACTCAATTTTTGTTTTACGACCACGATGCAACGCAATCAGAGTGCGCACACCGCTTGGACGTGGACATACCTAAACGAACAAGGAAAATCAGCGCCCCCTTCAAAATTTGCCGCAGATGATCAACGTAAGCAGAGTTAGTAGGTAGTACAAGATAAAATATAACCGAAGTAATTTTAAGCTCATTAGCAGTGGGCGCAAGCGGCCTGATATGCTTAGTGGGACGATTAATGCTATTTTGAGGCGATGGCCTGCAGAAAGGATTTTGCTTTGGGTCGAGGACGAGGCTTCATTTCTTTCCCTATGAGGTTTCTCGTAAATTAAGCCATTCTGATGGTGGGTTTTCGGAAGGTGCAATTCACAATGTTATACTGAATAGCGCAGTTTGAAAGGTACAATAGTACATTGAAACAGATCAGCTTTAAAAAGCACAGGGTCGTACTACTCTTGCACACCACTTTTGTCGTTTGACAAAACTAGGTGCACATTATCTGTTATAGCTTGAGAACATGATTGGAACGGGATTTCATGATACCGACGGTGAATTCCAAAAGCTACCCGGGCTTCGTTCACTTCCGTAAATGGCTACCGTCCTTCTTTTATTAGGTCTCGTTTGACTAATCTAAACTTTCGCTCCGACGAAGGGCTAACGCTCGAAACGTCAGCTTTTGTAATCATTACGGTGGCCAATTTACCATTTCAACTTTGTTGATATATCCAAATAATCTAAACTTTGTTGTGCTCTGCATGGGTTGTTTTTAGATTTCAGTAATAACAAAATATCATACGGGTGCCGCAGCATGGAAATCATGTACGGTAACCACTGTTCGCGCACATTCCGTTGAAAAGCGGGTAGTGCCTTTTAAGTGCCGTGGAATTAAAGATAGTCTTTTCATGGTTCAGCTTTTCTCGTGGAAACGTGTCGTAGCGTTTGTAAAACTAATTTAATTTCTCCAAACTTTTCTTTTTACGTGCGCTTGCTGAAAGTTATTTGAGTTATTATTAAGAGGACACGCTTTGTTAGTTCTTGTGGCAACAACATGTCGAAGAGTTTTGAAAGATTATTCAAAGTGTTGCAAAATGTTTCTTGTTGTGTTCGTCTGTAGAATTTCTTAGTTATGATTTAGACGACGCGTTTTCGAGCAAGCAGATGATATTTGTTGTTAAGTGGCAAGATCATCTGTATGCTAAGCATTTTAGAAATTTCTAAGTAATTATTTGTAGTCACTCTCTATGACGAAAACAATTGTCTTTTTCTTAGCCGAGAACATTCTGTGGAATCACAAAGGTGATGGATTTTCACCCAACTGTGTTCTGCTTTTGAACATAAATACCTTTTTTCTGATTTTTGTGACTTTATGGTCACCACCGCCGGACGAAAATCATTGCACTTTGTAATATTGCTTGATTGAAGAGAGGGGCATTGTGATTTTCGCCTTGGCGGTTTAGGCTATGTAGACTATGTTTAGGTCGGTTTTCGTTTTTGTTTAAAAAAGCTTCGGCTTTTCGATTTTGGTGATCATTGCGGTTTGCGGATTTCCGTATTTTAGCATTTGGTTTTCGGTTTTCTTCAAAAATACTAGCGGATTTTCGGATTTGGTAGCCTATTTGATTTTCGGTTTGATTTTGGGTTGCGTAAACACTTCGACCTCAGCCGCAATCGTGCGCCTCCACTGATCTCGAATTCGATTAGGGTTTTGATAACTGGGATGTGGAAATTTGTCGGTTTCGACGGTTTTGTGTACTGTTTTCGGGTTTGATCATCGGCGTTGATCATCTTCGTCTGTTTTTTTGCAGCTTTTTTTCTATGGTTTTGCGGTTTCCAATAATAAACTTTTATGCTTTACAACTGTTCTTTTAACAATTGCTCATAATGAACGGCTCATTAGCATTTAACGAACGGGTTCTACGAATTCGCCCTCATGTTTGAATTGACCTTTCTGGTCTTTTGCTTTAAGTTGTAACGCGCTTAATACGTCAGGGGCCTAGGCCTGGAGAGAAATCGAATGAGAAATGGATTCAGGCCAGCAGAGCTGCAGAGTCACCCAGTCACTATTCGGTTTGACAGAGGAACAACATCAACGCACGCAAACAATGAATTTCTCCGAAACTACGGTAGTCCCTGGTCTGTGAAGTCCGGTCTATGTTCACAGATGGGAGGGGTCTATGGGGGTATGCCGACACTGGCGCTAAAATAAACCGGCAGTGCTAAAGTCTCCCTTTGAAGTTGTTGTTTTAACAATAGAAACTGTTTGGGGCTGCGTCGGTGGGAGTAACGAAATAATTTGGATATATCAATAAAGTTGAAATGGTAAATTGGCCACCGTAACGATTACAAAAGCTGACGTTTCGAACGTTAGCTCTTCGTCGGAGCGAAAGAATAACTACCTCATCGACTTATTGTTTTAACAATAACTTCAAAGTGAGTTTAAAGTACTCTCGATTTTTTCTGGTAATGAATCACAACATCGAATGTACTCGGAAAAATTCCATAGTTGAAACAATTGAGGTCCAGACTCGTTTGGGAGATTAAACCACTTTCACGGGAACCTGAGTTGCATTATTATGAGAAGACTACGCGCGTGAATAAACCAATTTGATGAGTACGAAGGCGAGATGTAGAAACAGTGTTTACGTGTAGTTGGTTGAAGTCATCTAGAATTACTTGTCTGGATGTTTTAAAGATGGAAAGCCTCTAATATTGAGAAATGGTTAATCATTCATTTTGTGTTTGCCGGGGGGAGGGAAAATAGAGCGCGCTTACTGATTCCGATCTGACAGCTTTTTTTGAGGAGTGACAGCATCTACCCTCTTCTTACCGGACTCGTTTGAGCCACCTGCTTTCGTGGCTTTTTTAAAAGAGGGTCCCTAATAGGGTTCTTCAATCTCACGATCTCGACCAAAATTCTCTCTCAATCCCGTAATCGTGACGGTTTACAACGGCCAATCCTTATTCCGGTCTTCATTTTTTCTTTTTCTCTTAGTCCGTTACCTCAACTTAAAAAGGGCGTTTTCGGTGGGTGATAAATTTCTCAATCAGCATTGATCCGTTGAATTCTTTGCTCATCGTAAGGCGGAACTTTATCTGTTTTCACGAATAACGTACGCTAGTCACAGTAATGACTTCCTTCCGTTTAACTTCAATCACGGAAAAATATATTAGTTAAGACAAGGCAGTATCAAAGAAACGAATAACTGACTGTCAACAAATGCATAAAACAACAATAGGTGACGGTAATCCCATAGCTCCATAACAAGGGTAATAAAGGAAAATAAACTAAACTCAATTCTTCCGTTGAATGCGGCCTCGTCGTCCGGAAATGACTCACCCGATTCTTCTTCACTGCTTGAGGAATCGTATTTCCCATATTCCTCTTCGTCTTGTAGCCCGCTGTTTTTTTCTTGCTGCTCCTCACGGTCAGCTTGCTCGAGGCTGACTAGTTCACCCGGCTGAATTTCTCTATGATCGAGGCACGACGAGCGAGGTCCAGCTCTTGCCATCGTTGTTTTCTGTCTGATATAGAACGCTGACCCACTGCTACATCAAATGTTCACGCCCATCCAGTCCCTCATCTTCTGTATGCTCTGTGGTGTCATTAACACAGATGGTAACGGTTGGATACCGGTATAACCGACAGAATCATGGCACTTTCGGGTGCAGGATGCCAATTAAGACTTTGGATTTGTAAACTAATACGCCGCCTAATGGGTTATCCTCTCTAAGTCTATCTTCTGTGGCTGCATTTCCAAAGTTTTTTGCGTAATCTAACACAGTACAAAGTGGATCTTTGTGTTGCAAAACCAAATGAATACTCTCTGCGTCTGGTGTCGTAGAACTTAACAGGTTAATCGCGTTTGCGAGGAGAAGGGAAACATGATCCCCTAAATACGACTACATGGGAGGCAAGGCTTTTTTGGACGAAGATAAATTTCTGTATAAATTCTCGTCACAGACTTCCTAGTTCTCGGTTCGTTTAGGTGATCATTTCCCGAATCCCAACCCTCAAAATCGCCGATTTCCGTGTCCCGTACGTTCATACCAACAATTCCGCCTCTCGCTCCTTTCTTACTCCAAATTTCCGAGTCCCGGTCTTCAAATAAGCCCAATCCCGGATCCCGAAAAACCTATTGGGGACCCTCTTAAAACGCAATGACGTTTACCGACCCGTTGGGAAGGCAAGACTTTTCACGAGATTCCTGGTAGTCATTTGCTGGGCAACTTGAAAAAGTCACTTGTGAAACGTATGTCTTGTTTTATGACCTCGTTGCTTCATGAAAATGTAGCAAAACAAGTTAAAAAATAAAAGAAAAAAAAATTAAAACATGGACATCAAAAGCGAGGAATATGATTGTTATTACGTAGCTGCCTAGTCACTTCCAGTGGTTTTAACGCTACTTTGGCGAAGTTCTTTGTGCCGTGTGTTGTGCTACAATGTATACATATAGAGGGCTGGTCACCTCAAGATTGTAGTGGAAATAAAGACCCTCGAAAGCTTAGACTTAAGACCTACGACCTAAAACTCAAAAACGAAGACCCTCTATTTTCTTGTTATGGTTACTCGCCTGAAATAGCCAGTTCCGGTTTTTATCTTTCTAAAAGCGATAAAGGTGCTTGTTCAAATTTTTTACTTTAATAGGGAGTGAGCCTATAACCCATCTAACAGTTTGTTGGCTTCAATTTTAAAGTATTGTCGGTGTAACAGCCGTACAAAAGAAAGCTCCGAAAAGTTTCCATTTTAATTGCTGAGCCCTCTTCATCTATGTGGAATTTAATAAACTCGAACATAACTTATACCACAACAATTTTTTTCCATACAAGCTTCAAAAGAGCGTAAATATAACTTTATGGATAAATCCTGAAAATTTAATATCCATGTCGGTGACCACACACAAACACAGTGGAGAACACATCACAAATGGTCCAAGAATTCAAACAAGGCGAATAGGTTAAAGATGTTTTGCTGGACACAATTTTTACAACTGGCGAATTTTGGACGAATCAGGAGAGCTGGAGAGCACGCTCTTTTTACTGTTGGCTTATTATTTAGAAAATGAGGGCTCTTCGTTTTTTGGTCTTTGCTTTCAGGTCTTTGTTTTCGGGTTTTCGTTTTTGGGTCTTTGCTTTCTGGCCTTTGTTTTCGAATCCTCGTTTTCGACTCTTAAGTCTCAAGTCTTAGCTTTCGAAGGTCTTCGTTTTCGCTACGACCGTCACTTCAACCGGTACCGCGCACCAACCGTCCCACTCGAAGTTTTTCTTCTCGAAGGTCAATAAATTCCACAAAAGTCACACGATCCCCTTCAAATTAGCACCGGCGAGAGCGTTTGGTAAAAACCAATCCGTTGGAGCGGCAAAAGTTTCCAAATTCCTCTGCATCGACCCGAGGGGCGCTCCGTTTTGCCTCCCATTCTGATAAAATCACTTTGTAGAGACCCGTGATGCGAACGGCCTTTCTATCGGATTCAAATATCAAAGCGCATCTGACCATATAAAAGAATCTCCAGTACCGAAGCCGAAAAGGGACAGTCCAAAGATATTTCACAAATCCAAAATAATATTTAGAATCGATATTTGGTTATTAGACAAATCGCTTTTGAAAAGTTTGTCTAATCGAGAAAACAATTTCAAATCCTAGTTTCACTCATGAATCCACAAATAACTTTCTTGAAAATCGAAAATAGTTTACATTTCAAGAATCTTTCCGAAATCCAGAGCATTTTCGCAAATCGAGAAAAATATTTTGTCACGTGATGACCTTTACACGCCAAAATCACAGAAAGCACGCTTAGACCGCTGTGCTCGCAGCAAAACTCCAACCCACTCTAACTCGAACAAGATCCGATTTCCCCTGAATTTAACCCCAATTTTCCAGTCATTTACTATCGGCTTTCTTGAACTTGTTTAAACCGAACTTTTACTGAAAACGCCGGTCAATAGACTTCAAAATTTCAGAACATATCTAATTGACAAACCGGTTTTCGTTTCTCCTGAGGGTTCGAGTTAGCAGACTTCTATTGACGGTATCCTTTTTCTCACTGCAGATGTATTGATGGGTAATCTATACTAAAATGGCTTTATTACATATTCTAGGTTGGAAAGATGCCAATTGTGTTTATGCTATTGGTTGTAGTTGAGTTGGGATGGGCCGCCCAGTGTGACAAGCGGTCTGGACCCGCTGGAAATGTTGAATGCATTCGACTACCGCAGTACAATAATTCATATCAATGGAGAACATGCCTTACAGATGCATACATCAAGCAAAAGAGTAACCAAAAACACCAATGTGATGACCGAACAGCAACCTACTGCTGGTACGAGTGTATGCTTGAAGAGAACAACAAGGCAAGTGGATCAGTGACGAGCGATTGTTCCTGCACAGCAGCCTCAAATCCAAAAACACTCGCACCCAGCACTTCGCTGCCTCCAAAGTGCTATAGTCCACCAGCGGATTCCTGTGGTTGGTATAGCAACTGCTTGGAAAGAAAGTATCCCTGTGAAGCTACAAGTAATGGATATGTGATAAAATACGCCGAACATTTTTGCAAGCTGCAACACGAGACCTTTGCAAAATTTACTCTTATCGCACACAACTGGGTCGATGAAGTTCGTAAATGCCTACTAGTAGCACTGGTGCCACTATTACGACCTTGGACGAATCCAACCTGTAAACAAATAAGAGAGAGAGCATTCGCCTCTCATACACCATGCTACTTAGATACTGCAGTCACAGACAAAGTCTGTGATCTTGACTGCTCCGATTACTTCAAGATCTTTTGGAGCATCAAG